ACTCTGTTGACTTAAGCATGCTTGAAGCTCAGTCATCACACACGATGTGCAACCCAAAAAGGACGTTGGCGAAAAAACACACACTCAGTATTCCAAACAAGCGCGGACAACTGGGGAGCGTGATCGACAAACAGGATGCCAAGAAATTGACTCACCACTTCAAAGGGAAAACCGCCCTACCCTCTTTCCGACAATCATGGAATTCTTCCGAACCCCTCCTGTCAGCTTCCATGATTGTTAGAGGGAGGGTAGTTCATTCGGTGCGGATTGATCTGAAGGTGACATTGCATGATCTTGGTTGGCACTAGCTTTGGCCCCACTCTTCGGTAAGCTATCGGAACATCATATGTCGTCTATGCGTCATCTGGCGGTTTTGCCAGCCTATCCTCCTCTTCTGCCAAGCTGCCATCCCTCTTGGCGATCTCCTTCTGGAAGTGAGACACCTGCTGCCTTGGATCGTGCTAACTAAAACGTGGCGGAAACCATTTCAACCCAAACCCAGCTCTCGCATGCAAGACCAAAATCTGCGCTTCAAAGATAGTAATATGCCCGGCACCCACATTGGCGGGGTGGTGTTTATCGGGAAGCCAAACGGAAGTTCGCTCATCTTTAGGGGGTCATCTACTTTTGACACATTCCCATATCCATCTCTTTCGGCCCTTTCGGCCTCCTAGAAACATGTGTTCATTCAATCGGCCTTTTGCGAGCGGTCTTCCTGATCTCCAGGTTCCTTATGTCTCTCGTGGCAGCATCAACCAAATGGTCAAATACACATGTACGTACTTTTGTATACAAACACAAAGATAATGTGTATATACACAATGCGTGTTTTGTTTTTGTGAGGCGTTCTCAGAAAATACAGGAAACCCTTTTGGTTCCCTTTAGATCACAAACAAAAGGTAGCCAAATGTACTAGCTGAAAGGATATGAATTCCCTTTCCCAGCAAAAGGTGTCCCAACACCAGCTCAATGTGACAGAGTTAGCTCGACATCATGGAAACGCCGCAGAGAAACAAGTTAAATGAGTTTCTGAGTGGCTAACTCAACCTCCACGTAGCTGAGATACTGGTACAATCCCTTTATGCAAGCAAGTATGGGAGATGACGAACCAAAATGAAGGGAATGTGCAATCCAATTCCCTGGCGACTTCCCCCCAACTGAAGCTGGACAAAAATGGTGGACACGCTACTACACCCAAGAAGTCATGTCAGCTGGGTGTGCCTTAAAACAGACCCAACAATGGCTAGGTCCTGCTAGTTTCGGTTGCAAACGACTCCAAAAGCAAAAACTACGCATAACTCTTAGGGTATTCCCCAAGGAAACACCCTCTGGCCCTCCTAAACAAATCGAAAACGGGTCACCACTTTTAAAGGGAAGAGGTGACCAACAGATCGAGCGGCTCGGCGTCCTGCAGGCGCGGCTTCAGGCGCTGCAGCTCGCACTCCGCCAACTGCGCCTCCTGACGCGGGCAAGGCGCGCGAGGAGGGTTTGAGGGCTTGGTTGGTTGCTAGGTCCTCCAGTACTTGGTTGACGTTGGAAGGGGAGCTAAAATTCAAATTTTAGCTCTTAACTGGGGATTTCAACCACTAAACCAAAATAAGCAAAAGTGCAAAATGTTTCCCAACAACAACCATGAGTAGAGAGGTTTGAATAAGTTGGTACCCTATTTTTTCTGTAGTCTGTTTTAGTAGGGGAGCCCTCCCAACCAAAAGAGTTGGTAAAAGGGCACTACTGGGGGACCTAGGTTGAGCAAGCGCGTGGATGAATTGAGGGGTTGCTTGGTTGGGTTGAGTTGGTGGGTTGGGTTGGGTTGGCTCAGGTTGGGTTGGGTTGATTTATGATGAAGCAGCCTGCCAAAAGTTAGGAGTTTGCCAACTCAACCAGTAAGTTGGTGGACATAAACACCCACACATAATTTCGGGCCCCTTAAAAAGCATACCCATTCGACTCCTTTTATTCAGTGGTCCCTTGCTATTTTGAGTGGTTACTCTGACTTCCTGAGTGGATTGTCCCAAGAAGTCCAAACTTTTTGTATACCACTCCGGCCTGTTCCCAGATCCCCTTTTAGTGGTCTAGGGGAAGCTACCACTAGGTCCTCCAGTAGAGAGGTTAGAATAAGGGTACTTTTTTTGTAGTCTATTTTAGTAATTGGGGGAACCCTCCCCAAAAACAAGGGGTGAACGGCCAATAGCTACGACTAAACCACATAGAAACCACAAACAACGCAAACACAACCTAAGGAACCGGATGGCTGGGAACCGAACCCAAGTAAACCGCTTCGGAAACCCAAGAAGTCCTTGATCCGCCGAGCCCCCCGAAACATGCATCCATGGAAGGCTTGGGAGGCCGCTTTTTGAGGGAAAACCGGCTGACAAAGAAACCCTGGCTCAACCAACCCCAGATGGCTGTGGGTCTAGTCCTGCAGTTTCAAGTAGAAGTTAGAGAAAAATGCCTGGTTCAGCTGAGCTTCCGGAGCATCGCCAATTGGGCGCAACTTCATTTCAGCCCCCGGAACCAGAACAAACCTTCTGATGGCACACCATTTAGTACCCAAAATGGAACCCTGGCAAGTGCAACCATGGACTAAACCTGCGGTCCCCTGGTGGTTTAATTTTGACCCATACCCAGATAGGGGTGAACTCCCCATCCCCTTTCCACCGTTCAAAGGACCCCTAAAATGAGACGAGTTGCCATGTCTCTTGTGGGAATTTGCGGGCTATCCCCATGACTTTACCCTACCCGGCCAGGCTTACTTGGTTGCTGTTGACACTCTGCAAAAAGTTTAACTGTTGTGGGTTTAATGGAAACCCCTTGATTTCCCCAAAAGTTAAAGTCTAAAGAACCAACCCAATAGCGGTCAAGCTTATGAACCCCCAAGCGTTGTGGTCCTGAGATGTCGTGGATGGCGCTTTGAAAAGTGCGGGATGGTGCGGGGTTTTGTAGATCCACAAGTCCCACTTGCTGTGGGAGTTGGCCAAAAAGTCCATGTGCTTTGTTTGCCACTCTTAAATGGACTTCCCCAAAAGCGTAAAGTCGAGGAACTCAGGAAGTCAGGAAGTGAGAATACGTTTGACACCCCCCCCACCGTTGTAAAACCGCACCAAACAAGCAAACCCACCATCGCCTTTAAGCGGACGGACAAATTGCTGACCTCTGAGGAGCTGGAAGACAGCTGCTTCCTCGGTTCGTGGGGCTTTTGGCAGATACTCGCTGGAGTGGACCAGCCAAACAAAAACACTCAACCTGTTGGGCACCAAAGTGGCCTTTCCCAACAGGACCAAAAGCCCCCCCCCCAAAAAAAGGAAAACAAAATCATAACCAACAGGAATATGAACGTGCTTTCGGCGGCGAGGGTTTCGTGCGGAGCACTAAGCCGTTTGCCTCGCACAGCCTGAACCTGCAGCATGCGTCGAGACGGCAGGCCTCCAAATTCAGCACTATACCTGACCTCCGAGCTTCATCTTGACACTAACAACTCGTGAAAACAGCGCTCGCAAACAGGCAAACGTCTCTGCCTTTCAGCATCCCTGCAGCTACAATCGAGAGCGTCAAATTGGTTGCTGCCAAATCCATGTTGGCATACGTATGCATACGTCGCAACAGGGTGACCCCGCACACACCCATTTGGAGTGCAGTCTACATGGGCACGCGGGTCAAGGTACCCGATCAACCCGACACCCAGGGAATCCAAGCAGCTCCAAGGTTGCCCGTGTCCGTTCCTTAGCAAAACATCACGCGGCACGGCAAATATGACAAAAAGATCCCAAGCCCCTCCTGCAAGCTCCTGCAAGCTCCCGCTTGCCCTGACTATCTCGGTGGTAAAGCATGTGAAAACAGGGTCTATGCATGTCTATGTCAATGTGTGGATGATGTCCAACATGATCATGTCGAGGGGATAACAACTGACAGACATTCCCGGAGATACCGCGCCTGGTCTGCACTGCTCAACACCTCCTGCCTTGATAGCATCTTCACCCCCTGAACAAACCGGCGGCGCAAATTGAATTCCAAGCATGAGGCACTCCAAGAAGCCTGGACCACAACGACAAACATCACCAACACGCCCAAAGACCTTCGCAAAACCAAAACAGGAACAGCAAGCAGCAAGATACCGGAAAAAAAAAAAAAAAAAAAAACAAACAGCAAGCACCCACCAAATAAATATATACTCCCACACACACAACAACAAACAAATCCCTTTTCCCCACCCCTCCCCGACCCCCCCAGCCCCGCCCCCGCGCCCAAGGCGCCGCCTCGGAGGCGCGGGCCTCCGCGGCCGCGAGCTTCACGGCGCCCTCCGCCTGCTGCGCGGAGAGCAGCCGGAGCTTGGCCAACTCCTCGCGGGCGCAGTCGGGGGTTTTGGGCTTCCCCGAACGTCTGAAAGGCTTTCTGTTTGCTTCTCCTTTTTGAGGGATCTGGTTTTTGCTCCGCCAAAAGGAACGTTTTTTTATGGGTTTTTCTCCCCCCAACAGCTGAAAGCTATGGGGGATCTGGTTGTTTGCTCCTCCAAAAGGTGTCTTTTGGTTTTGCTCTGTGGTACATGCTCCTCCAAAAATGTGTTTGTGGGTTTTCTCGCCCCAGCAGCTGAAACCGATTTGGAAAATATGTTTGTTGTGCTCCGGCAAAGAATAGTTGTTGCTTTTTTCTCCCCGGAACAGCTAAAAGGCGTTTTTGTTTTTTTTGTTTTACTTTTTCTCCTCTCCTTTCTAGCTGGTTTTTTGGCCCCCCCAACAGCTGAACGCTATGGGGGATCCGGTTGTTTGCTCCTCCAAAAATGTGTTTTTGGGCTTTCTCCAACAGCTGAAAGCGATTTGTGGGATCTGGTTTTTGTTTCTTCCCCCTTGACAGATGAAAGCGCTTTCAAGGTGTGCAAGAAACAGGTTCATGAAATTGATTTGATTTGCTTCACACTACCAAGAAGCAGGTTGGAAGATGGCACCAAACCGCAAGGCCACACAGGAAGCCAACGTCCCCTGTCATAAAAAAGCAGCCATTTCTGACGGGGGGTTCCCCAAATTCGGAGAAGTGCACCTGTTTGAAGGGGAGTTCCCTTTAGACTTAACTTGAGGGGGCTTCCGTTTTTTTTGTTTTCCGGAATTCCAGGGAGAGACCACGAATGGAACCATACTCGCCAGCCCAAACCTGCGGGGCATGTCCTTGCTTGTTTTTGAGGGCGCTTCCTAAACCCGGATCGTGGACTTGATCCTCACTTTGGGTTTGGATTTGAGTGGCGAACAGAAAGTTTGGACTTTTTTGGGGCCAGTCCACAGTTCCTTTTCTTTAAGATACCAAGAAACAAGGGTTGGCCTCTTTTACCATGGCCGCTGGACCGCTGCGTGCCTGGCACTCATAAAGTAAGGTCACTCAGTTGGCAAGCTAGAAGCTCGTCACGTTAGAAAAAAGCTTAGAACAAGGGTACCCTTTTTGCTGTGGTCTATTTTAGTAGGGGAACCCTCCCAACCAACAAAGTGTAAAAGGGAATACTGGGGGTCCGACAACTTTGAAGTCAACAGGTCAAAGTCCAAAGACTTTCTTTCTGTCTGCTGCTGAAATGGCCCAAACCCAACAAGTGACTAAAGTCCATGAACTCAGGGAGTGAGTTGAGGGTTTTGGCTCCTCCAGTTGGTTCTGCTTGGGTGCTCGGCCAAGGCCAAGTTAGCCAGCGGTTCATCTGGGCAGAGTGTCAACATTAGTTTGTTTCAAGGGATGCCTGGCTGGCTCGCCAAGCGGTATCCACGAGTGCAGCTTGTAACCCAAATCGGAGGGTTGTTACCAGGGCTACTAAGTGCCCGACAAGATCGATTCTGCGACTGAGCCAGCGTAGCCCAGGACTGAAGTCATTCAACAAGGGCCCTTTGTTTTTTTCTTCGACACACAGACCCAGACTCGGTTAAACAAGCTAATTGGGAGAACCATTGAAGTGACAAACTGCCATTTTTGCTCGTTCACGTGGATTGGCCACTGAAGCTTCGGGGGGGTTGTTTCACCTTTGGCAGGGAGGAGGGTGGGGTGACAACCACAGGGAACGCAAATGTGTGAAACCAACTTGGGGGTAATGCGCGTTGGGGCAACACCCCTGAATTGACTTGAGGCTTCTGTTGCCATCCCAAGAGGAGAGACTCGGGTGACCCTCGCTAATTTCAGGTCCCTTGAAACATCCCGTTTTGCAGTTTCCTTTCAGAAGATGACAAATCTGCATTTACCACAATGTCCAACTCTGCAGATCTTTCTAAGTCCACTTTCTGAGTGGACTGATGAGGACAAGTCCTGTTTGGATTTACCATGTACATGATCTCCCTAAAAAGTGGCAGCGTTGAAACTCTCAGTTGCCCAAAGGAAAGAGAAATAAAGAGTGATCACCTTTTGGGACCTTTACTAAAAGTGGTTGCCAAAAAGGGAAAACTAAAAGGTCAAAAGGTTGATTCGCTTTGGGCAACAGAGAGCTGGTTCAGAAATGGTCATCTCCCAAAAAACACTTTTACCACTAACATCATCCCCCTCAAAAAAAACAACATGGCAGCCCCGAAACTGAAATTCAACCAACCACCCCGAAAAATGCGTCCTCTTCCAGCTGCGCCACCTGCTTCCGCAGCGCCAACGCCACCCCATCCTCCGTCTTCGCGCCCTTCAGCTGAGCCTCGACGGCGGCTTTGGGCCGAACGAAGGTGCCGCTTTGCCAAGACCCCATGACCCTGCAAAAACGGTGGGTCATGACCCCTTCATGGAGGGTCTAGGGATAAACCAACGGGAGGTGACTTGCGGGGGATGGCTGGCCACTCGTTGTCGCGCGCCTGTGAAGGGGCCAGAGCGGCCAAAAAGTGCAGGTTTTAGGGTGTATACCTTTCAATAGAGTAAGGCTAGTACCTTTGAGGGTGAACCATTTTGGAGTGTTTGTGGGGGGGTCCGGGGGTTGCGGGCCATGGCCCTTTAACAGGAACCTTTAACGGAGCCTTGGGTCATGTTCAGTTGTCCCAGTCTACTTTTGGCCGTGACAAAACCAGACTGTTTGACTAGGTCCCCAGCTAGGTGCCCTTTTCTCTCCCCATTTCTTGGTTGGGAGGGTTCCCCTAAAATAGACCAGACAACAAGTGGGTAGCCGTATACTAACCTCTCTGCGGCCTCACCCCCCTCTTTTGGTTTGAGGTGGGTTGGGCTTAAAACAATGGAATCGACCCAACAGCCTGTTCCGATTCTCATTAAATCAGGGACACATTCGCAACCGCCGGTAGTGACACGCCTGTGGAAAATCTCGTCGTTGTAGCCTCTCTAACGCGCCTAGCGCTTGCCTTAATCCCTCCAAAGTGAACAATTCGCCTTCTGGAAATTGGTCCAAGGGGTTCTTTCGTTTTCCAACCCAGGGGCAGGCTGGGGTTTGGGATCCGACAGGGTATCCCCTTCAAAACCAAGGCTTGGGCTCAGGCCGAACAATTCGCTCCAACGCCTGGTTTTGTGACTACAACTTGTCGAGAATCAGTGGTAGGTTCCTTCATGATTTGAGTCAAGCCCCGAGAAAAACCAAATGTTTCGGTGATGTCCCAACAAACCCACGGACCCCACGGGACGGCCGCGCCTCCAGGCTGCCCACCTGCGCCACCAGCGCCGCCTTCTCCGAGGCGAAGCTGGCGCCGGAGGCCTTCAGCTTCGCCGACTCCTCGCCGGGGGGGTGGCTCGTCTCTCTTTTTTGTTGAGGACCCCGCCCCCAAGTGTTTGTTACTATATACTAACATTACTATGGTTATTATTATTACTACGGGTACCATTATTGTTAATAAGATTGTGTTTGTCATTTTTTGATTAATAGTTGCTTATGTCATGGGGGATTTGTTGTTGGTTTCCCTTTAAGAACCACAAAAAAGGGGCTCCGGCTGGGTGGCTCGTCTTTTAGAGCCAAAAACCAACACCTGGCAGTCAAGTGACCTTCCTCCTAAAAAAACGGAAGAAACCAAAAGGGCGCAACTGGCACCTAGCTGTTAGGACTATCCCTTTCTCACCTTCTCTTACCCAGCTGTTGATTGTGGCTCATATGTAAGCGGTGTGTCTGAACATGTGACCTCAAAAAAAGTAGCTGGTTGCCAGCTGGTTCCGGAATTCACCAGCTGCGACAGGGCCCGCGAGAGAGCTCAACTAAACGAATGTCGGCCGCGCCTCTGCAGCCTCAATACTGGATGCTTTGTTTGTAAGACCAACAATGTTCCCCCTCAAGATTTGGCCTTGCTCCTGTCAGAAAACCAAGCCCCAACAGAATATCCCGCCAAGCTGTGGTCTGTTGATTTCTCTTCCTTGACATTGCTTCAAATTCTTGCGCGAGCCGTGTAAAGCCGAAGAAATCAATGCTTGCAATCATCGACTAGTGCAAATTTGACTCTGCGTGAGCCAAATCTCGAACCAGTAGGTGTGTGCTTCATCCTAGTCTTATAGGTTTCATCCATCTCAGGTTGGGCAGGATCTCGTCCAGCAACAGTATTAAACATGTTCACTGATAGTATCCCTCTTTTAGGCATCAAAACAGGCGACAAACGACCCGATGATGTATGCATATATATATATATATAAAAATTGTATGCAGGTAGAATTAGCATATGTATAGATATAGTGGGTGATGTGTGTGTGTGTGTTTTGTTGAGGGTGCCTGTTTGCACCGTCGATTAAAAGGGAAGCCAAAAGGAAGCGTTGCCAAGGCAAGCTAGATTAACTCTGGATTGTCAATCAAGCCTGTCAAGGGATAAAGCTCCCAAGCAAACCTTATACAAAGCCATCATTGTACCTATTATCGGGCTATTTGCGGATCCCCCTGAGTAACAATATCAGTTATCATACCGGAGCAGCACGATAGTGCATCACCACTGGAAATTAGCCAAAGGCGCACTTCCTGTAGATGTTTTCCTGCCCAGACGCTCACGATTTGATTTTGGGGCGTCGGGGTGTCGCGGGGCGTCGCGGGGCGTCAAGTGAATGATCGGGGCGCCGTTTCTAAGACATGGTGAGACTTCACTCACTTCCCAGTTTGCACGAGGGGTTTGCAGTGCGCGAACAGCACCCCATCGCTAGCCTGCAAAATTGCGGCAGGGGTCTTTAAGGATTCTGAAGGAATGTCACCAGGACGTTTTGAAGGCTAGTCGTCTAATGCGTCGTGGGCCCAGCTGCGCACTATGGATCAAGGCGCGCCACTGGTCAGGGCTATCTGCTGCATCAGATTTCCATGGGCTAGCTGCTGAGGACAACCCTGTATTATTGACGTGTCAATGTCAGGCTTGATCAGGGAGCTGGGCCGGTTTTTGATGGTTCGCGCTTCCACATGCGCTTGTGTATTTGCTTGCCGTGGAATTCCAACATGTTTTCCCCGCTCCCCTACAACCCCAAACTTTGTTAGAAGGCAACTGCGAACCGACAAAAGCTGTGCGAAGCAGCCATACGGGCAAGAAACCTGGAGGTGGCAAACACTGCGCTTTTGTCAGCCAACCTGACGGCCACATAGGTTGCTAATGCCTCACAAGCTGCTGGATGCAACCCAGCCGGACCTTTCCTTGAGTACTGATGACGCCAGTTCAACCCACTGCCCTGCTGCGCGCACAATGACAGAGCAGGCTCAGCAAGCCCCAGCCGATCTGGCTCTAAGACCAGTCTCCACTTGGGATTTCCAGCTCGCCTTTCCGAAGGGTTGTGGAGGCCTTCGACCTTCATGGGCAACGAAACGGACATGAGCTTGTAAACATTGCGAAACATCAAACACCACCTGCTTTTGCTTCCTGTTGCAGGGGTGCATCATCACGGGTCGAAAACAGGATGCTCACACCTGGTAAGAGTCCAAGAGGCCGCAGCAAAGCCGAGGTGCCCACACATTTCAATCTGAAGCGGTTCAATCACAAAGTAGGACTCTATTCCGCTTCACGCCTTGTTTTCACGTGCGCGCGCCTGCAGGTAGGAATTCTGCAGCCAGATTGTGTGCAACGGTGGGGGGTCAAGTTGGATTGGACTGAAAAGGCGACAAGTGCCACTGGCGGCTGTTGGCGGCGTTTCTGAACCAGAACCCTCTCCAACATTTACCACCAAAACATGTCGAACTGTCAGACGCACAGCTCTTTGCATGTGAGCTGGGGCTTGGACAAGCGGGCGCAAGCGCGATGTTTTGACTCTACTGCGTGTTGCTGCCCCATTGTTTTGAAGCGCAGCCGTCTACCAACGCCCGTGTTAGTCAAATCATGTACGGGTTGGAGATTATGTTTCTGCAAAGCCCTACAAAGGGCGACATCCTATGGCAACACGTCAAACATCATAGTCCCAAAGTCTCAAGTCAAAAGATCCTACCGAAGTTTTTTCATAAACTGCACTGGAGCTTCAAGTGCCTTAATAGGATCCAGCGGGTTGTGACGCTCGGGCTCGGGACCCCCCACACCAGAATCCGACAGAATCCGACGGAATCCGACGGAATCCGACGGAATCCGACGCTCGGGGCGTCAAATGTCCTAGTTTCGACACCCCCTGACCCCAATCCGACGGAATCCGACGGAATCGCTTGGGGCGTCGATGCTCTTTTTGTTTCGACACCCCCTCCACCCCCAATCCGACGAAATCTGACGGGATCCGCCCAAGCAATTCCGTCGGATTCCGTCGGATTGGGGTCAGGGGGTGTCGAAACTAGGAGATTCGACGCCCCGAGCGTCGGATTCCGTCGGATTCCGTCGGATTCCGTCGGATTCTGTCGGATTCTGGTGTGGGGGGTCCCGAGCCCGAGCGTCACAACCCGCTGGATCCTATTAAGGCACTTGAAGCTCCAGTGCAGTTTATGAAAAAACTTCGGTAGGATCTTTTGACTTGAGACTTTGGGACTATGATGTTTGACGTGTTGCCATAGGATGTCGCCCTTTGTAGGGCTTTGCAGAAACATAATCTCCAACCCGTACATGATTTGACTAACACGGGCGTTGGTAGACGGAAACCTGCTGAACGCTTCAAAACAATGGGGCAGCAACACGCAGTAGAGTCAAAACATCGCGCTTGCGCCCGCTTGTCCAAGCCCCAGCTCACATGCAAAGAGCTGTGCGTCTGACAGTTCAACATGTTTTTGGTGGTAAATGTTGGAGAGGGTTCTGGTTCAGAAACGCCGCCAACACTCTATTCCGCTTCACGCCTTGTTTTCACGTGTGCGCGCGCCTGCAGGTAGGAATTCTGCAACCAGATTGTGTGCAACGGTGGGGGGTCAAGTTGGATTGGACTGAAAAGGCTACAAGTGCCACTGGCGGCTCCTACTTTGTGATTGAACCGCTTCAGATTGAAATGTGTGGGCACCTCGGCTTTGCTGCGGCCTCTCCTGGACTCTTACCAGGTGGAGCATCCTGTTTTCGACCCGTGATGATGCACCCCTGCAACAGGAAGCAAAAGCAGGTGGTGTTTGATGTTTCGCAATGTTTTCGTAAAAGAGCACAAGCTCATGTCCGTTTCGCTGCCCATGAAGGTCGAAGGCCTCCACAACCCTTCGGAAAGGCGAGCTGGAAAGCCCAAGTGGAGACCAGTCTTAGAGCCAGATCGGCTGGGGCTTGCTGAGCCTGCTCTGTCGAACCTGCCCTGCACAGTGATTGCACCTAGCAGCTACTGAAGCATTATCAACCTACGGGCCATCACCTCGGCCGTATGTCCGCTTCTGCGGCTTGGTCTGGTTGTGCTTCATAGCGCCGCTGAGCTGCTTCGCGCTGCGTTTGTCTAGCAACTGCCCCAAGATTTACGGATTTCGGAGAGTTTGGCAAACCATTCAATTGCAGCCAGCAAAGGGTGAGAAACACAACCATCAAAAAGCAAACCAGCTCCTTGATCAAGCCTCAACATTGACACGTCAATGATGCAGGGTTGTTGTCCTCAGCAGTCAGCCCATGAAAACCGTGTAAACCTGATGTTCAGCAGATTCGACGCGCTGGCCGTGCTGCATGCAAGTAGCTGCAGGGCCTGCGACGCGTTAGACAGAATCAACATAGACTTCAGCCTTCGGGGTGTCCTGGTGACACCCCCAAAAAAATAGCGAAGACCCCTGACACCCCACAGTTTGGCACGCAAGCCACGGGGTGTGCTATGCACAGGGCCGGGGTGTGCATTGCACACCCCCTCGAGCATCTGGGTGTAGCAGGTTTCTCAGAGCGTAGTGAGCAACACTCGAAGTGGGTCTGCCACTAAACGATTGCTACTCAAGTCTTGCATCGGCTTCCCCTCAAATTCCACTGACATCACGAGATATGACACAAATGGCTGGGGGTCAAAAATAGGAACCCAAAATGGAACCCTGGAAAATGGAAACATGGACTAAAACCTGCGGTCCCCTGGTGGTTTCATTTTGAGCCATACCCAAATGTGTCCCCTTCGTTCCGCTTTGGCTTTGTTTTAGCCCCTCACACTTTGCCTTGCATCTTTGCAGAGTGGCACATGCTCAACTGGACAACCGAACAGCTGAACAAATCACTTGCTCAAAATCCTGGACCATGGATCCAGCGCCCCCGTCCTGTTGGGATTCTAGCCTGGCCGTGAGCGGCTTGGCCCTTTGACCCAAATTGGGTCCCCGGTCCAACAAAAGCACTTCTGGTTGGCCCCTGGGTTTGAGAACCGCACTTGAACATCTTCAAACAGGTAAGTTTGCCGAACTCTGCGCCAAACAAGGCAAACCCATATTGTTAAAGGTGCCCTATTGGGAAACACGCACACACAACTGAGTAAAGTTGAGATGCAAGGCGCATGTTACTGGACACGAATCCATCCGCACCAACTACGCTATGTCAACAATGTGAATGAAGGAATCCCAAAAGGAATGCCTTCATTCTGGGACCAGAAATGCTCCATGCTGCCTCGAAATCGGACTGCTGTGGATGAACAAGATTCTGCACCTGGGATGGATCAAGTCCTAATGGGACGACCACCCAAAACAACCTGGTGAGAAGGCCACTTTAGTTCACCAACGTGCATGGAGGACGCCACAAGAAAATCCCTCACACTGGGGCCTGACACAGCTGGTTTTACCCTCACATTGCAGACCGTTGCCTCCCCATGTGTTTTTCTTGAAAGTACCCTCGGAGTTTGTGTAAAGGGAAACCAGCTCTCAGCAGGGAATGAGCCGGAACGGGATTCCCTTAAAGGAAGCCAAACTGTGGATGGACGAAATCCTGCACCAACTTGAAACCGTGGTTGAAATCATAACGTTGGTTGGTATTTACCTTGGGGAATCGAATCATCAATGGGCGACCATTTGCAAGGGAATCATCACAAACCAGGGTTTCTGAACGGTGGTGCTGGGATTCGAACTGCCTAGACTCTCCATGACCCTTGAGAAATGGTTGGTCATTACCCAAAAGAAAGATTCGGGTCATGACTGTTGAAAGGTGGGATCTACCTAAAACTCAGCACAGGCGGCAGCTCGTTTTACTTGAGCCAGTATCACGTCGGTATGCCATTACCTATCAACACCCCCCGCTTTGCAGAGGTGCGTTGGTGAGAACAGTACTTTGTACATGTTTCCCCCCCCAGGCCTGAAGCAAAGTCCTCTGAGGTCGAAACAATGAAGACGTAGAGCCTCAGTGGGATAGGTGGCAAGTCATGGTAACATGAGGCCTCTTGCATCAACGGCCGCTGCAACTGCGACGCACTTGGACTTTTGCAGGAGCATGCCACTTGAGTCGGCCGACCACGACTTCCGTCGGGCAAAACACATGTGACTTTCATGTGAATGCTTGAAACTGAATTCATACTGTTGCCATCAGCGGAGGTGATCTCACGACCACAGCTTCCGCTGGGCAAAACTGAAATAACAGCCGGAGGTGGCGGCCGTGGATTGACCTACGGCCGCAGCTTCCGCCGGGCGTGCAAACTTGGCACAGCTAATGTTGCGGCATCAATGGATGAAAGATAATAGTTTTTGAACATGACATCACCAATGAAATTTAAATGGTTACCACAACAAAAGCAAACTTTCATGATTGGCGCGGGTGCTCACCATCCCCACGGGCCCTGACGCCATTGATGCCATCCAGAGGACCACCCATACCAAGAGCTCCAGTCCTGGCGCCCCGTATTCTTGCCTTTGCCCTTGCTCTTTCCCTTGGCATAGGGCTCGGGGCGGATGGACCGGGTGATCGCCCTCCACTGGGTGTTTCTCGCCTCAACAGGATAGGTTCGCGTCCGGCCGGAGGAAAACTGCGGGATTTCGAGTTCACCGGTGCTGATGGTGCCCTGAGAGTCGTACTTGATCCAGGAGGCCCGAATGAAACTGACCATGACCTCCAAAATCTTTTCGACGCTCCCTTCCGGGACGTATGATCCGCTGTGCCCAATGATAATTGGCACCTGCTTGCCCGGAATGAAACGATAGGCACACATGACCGCAAACTGCATGATGCTGTAAAATCTCGCATGGTGCGCAATGAAAGCCTCCGTGGAAACGTTCAACTCGTGGGGATCGCGCTTGTTGAGGCTGGGAATGAACACCAACTTCGTGCCAGTGTTCTGAGACCCTCCTCGATCGCGTTCCTCCCTTGTGCGGCCAGGGTCAGCAACAACCGCTCGGGCAATCCGGCCTAGGAAGTCAAGGCTCTCGGGGGTTAGCCCTTGCGTGGCGCAGTTGTAGGCGTAGAATGGGTCGACCGAGAGCCGGTCGGACACCTTTTCACACCCCATCCCCAGCGCCTTTGTCAGATGCGTCTTTGCCGTCTTCCTGAGTGACGCTTCGACGGAGATTCCTCCCCGCTTGTCGCCTTCCTTGAAGTGATGCTTGGAACGGATCCACTTCCCTCCGCCACCTTGCAGATCCTCCAGGTAGAAAACCATACCCTGGAGGGATGCGGTGTGCTCGAGGCGCACAACCTCGGTGGCAATTCGGGCGTCCGTCCATTCCACCATGTCTGACCGGCACTCCTGACACAACAGGTAGCCGTCAATCTGTTGGTTGTTGCACCTCTTGTTCCAGCATTTCACGACCGGAATCTTCATCATAGTCGTGAAGAAGAGGTCCTCCCAACGTGGCTCACTCTGGTAGCGGTTCCGGAGGTTGTTCCAGCCGCGACCATACCCTTTCTCCCCCCTGGAGAGCTCGGGCACCCGTCGAAGGGTTGCAGGCGCAACCTGATATGTCGGGCCTGCAGGTCTCTCATTCGACTTCCCCTTCCGGGGAGCGAGCTCATCGATCGTGGCAATCTCGGTCACGGCACCCGGAAGCAATTTGCCGTTCTTCGTCCCCTCAACGACGGTCCGCCAATGCCTCCAGGCTTTCTCTGCGGTCAGGGTGTTTTCACTTCTGAAGAAGTTCGGATTGACGTCCTGGGGCCCAGGCGCAAGCTCGGTTGTCAGCGCCTCGCGATACCTTTTGCGAAGCTCAGGGTACGCACGATTGAAGTAGAGGAACTCATTCTTGCGGGTATGGAAAGCGTAAATGATATAGGCATTTCCAACCCAATCGGCAGACATAAACGCCTCATCGCTCGTGAAGAGTCGAATGCCGTCTTGCATCATGAGCTCAGTATCAAAAGCAATCGTGACGGGCCTTCCGGCTCGCGTTCCTGCCAGCTTCCTCATCTGCGCCTCCCAGGGTGGCGTGGGGTTGAAGTAGACGTGGGCTCTGCCTGTCGACTTCGGATAGCCCCCCGGGACCAGGCCGAACTTGAGGATACTCTCGGCCGACCTGAGGTCACAGGTGTGGTAAAGGACCGCCGGGAAGCCTCGGCGCCACAGGTCAGTAAGTTCGGGATGCCGCACCGATCTCGGGTACTCCCCGTGCAAGTACTTTGCCGCGGTGAACTCCTCGTCGAAGGAATACAAATTTGTCAGGATCGCCTGCTCAGTGTATTTCCTTGTGAGCTCGTTGTGGTGTCCTTGCACGGCCCTCACCCGCAAAGCCTGATACGGCAATCCTTTCCAGGATGCTTCCCCCAATGGAGGGGGCCCAACCATCACGCGGAATCGGCGGGTGTTGTTGTTCCGGATGCAGATCATCACCTCCCAAGGCATGACGTTGGCGATCCGGTCATTCAGATGCCTTACCAGCGCATCGAATTCCACCGACAGGTCAATTCCGCGAAACGGCGGGTGGGGCTTGCCGTCCTTGAATGCCCCTCCCCGGAGGAAATAGGACATTTTCTTCGAGATTGCTACCAGTCGGTAGTCTCGGTCCATGTTGACCTTCGGGACGTGCCCCATGTCCTCGACCTCGAGCCACTCGCTCTGCTCCTCGGCCGGGACCTTGGTATTGATCTTCCGGGTCTTCGCCCAGTCTTCCCAGAAGATCTTCTCTTGCTTAGGGTCTTTCTGCTTTTTCGACCGGGGTTCCCCCTCGGCGTTGCCCGGCGGCACCTTGGCCTTCGCAATCCTCGGCATCGCCTTCACCTGGGGCTTGTCGGTCGAGCCTGCAGCCGTGGGGTCCGACTCGTCTCCAATCTCAATGAAACCAGTCGACTGGGGTTCCCCCACAGCGCTCTTGGCAGCAGATCCGCGCCTTGACGGCGGCGGGGTTGGCGGTTGCTTGGATGTGCTGGTGCCCTCCGTCACGGACTCAAAAGCGACCGACTCCGCGGTGATCATGGAACCCATCCCTGCCGCCTCGGAATCATCAGCTTCCGACACCAGCTCCAACGACACCACCGTTTCCTGATCGAACAAGTCTCCTTCCGCAATGATGATCGACTGGCCTTCCGGCGCAGCACGGTGCACTCCTGGGGGCAGGTTCGTTGCATCCCATCCAAAGTCGTGGGTGTCATCGCCCAGCAAGAGCCACTTGTCCTTGTCCTCATCGTCGGGCACAATGGACAGACCGTGTTTCTCCGCCGTGCTGTCAATGTACTGGGACATGGCGATCTCAACGCGGTCCAGCTCGTCGTCGGAGTTCTCCTCTCCTTTGTCGACAGCCTCGAGAACGATCTTGGATTCCTCGACCGTGGCCCCCCGCATCTCGATGGTCATGGCGTTGTAGGACTCGTCCTCAGCCACTTTCATCCAGGCGGCCACGTCGGCGTCGATCTCGTCGCCCTCCTGGTCGTGAGACCAGTCGGGCCTCTCCTCCATCGCCGCATACTCGTGGAGTGCTTTGGCCAGCTTCAAGCATGTGGGCCAGCCAAACAGCACAGGATCAACCGGTTCACCTCTCACATAGGGCTCAACCCTCCCGATAGCTGGGAGAGCGTACCTGATCCGTTGGGCCAACAGCTGCGTGTTGATTGCCGCATGAAGGAATTTCGACACAACCTTCCGGTTGGCATTGCTGTATGTCATGTGCACGTCATCGTACCTGTGCGCTAGCAATGTCATAACCGATGGGTCGATCGAGTCGATCGCCTTGATGCGGGTCCCATCGTCGATGTCCCCGTTTGCAAGGTGTCGAAGGCAGCCGTTCATAGCCTCGTTGTAATCGGACGTGAGGGCATAGTCCTCGGCGTCCGGGTTGCTGATGAAGGTAATGTCTCGAATGCGTCCGAGCCCAACCGCCTCCTTGAAGAAATCGAGCTGCTCGTACACGCGAGTCTTCTGAACCTTCGGCCATTCC